GAATGCAACACGGCCTTTATTTTTCTTTTGACGAGACTGGCGACGCGACAATGTTCTTCCCGAATCCCAAGTACCATGGAAGCGCGATGGAAGAGGGGAAAGCGTGAAGACATACTTTTGTCCATACACACAAACATCCAAAACTGACGCCAACTCACGTTTACGTGGATAACAAGGTGCGTTTCATCGCGACTGCCATCCCATTTTTGGTCTTGTCTCGTCCCGTACCGTCCCATCTGTGCATAGCTTCTCTTGTCTCTGACTGTGGGTGGGTGCGAGGACGTTTCCCAATCTCATTAACACTCATGCCAAAGCCTACTTAGGTCTCGATAACGTAGCGTGGCTAGCGTAGTTGAAACCGCATCGGATGATGATTAATACCGTAGGGAGTTCGAAAACGTAGATTGCGTGCATACTTTCAGAGCAATTGCTTCAATCTCTCATAGTTGACAAGCTTGACACTACTGTCAAACTTATTGTGGCTTTCCCTCAACAAGGAGGTAGTCCTTGGCTGATAGTGAGGGGTGCCTTTGACAAGTGAGAGGCAAGAAACACGCACGAGTCGAAACAACATAATATTGTGATGGCGAAGTGTTGTTATGAGATCTACACGTAATAGAACTATAATGTGCAAGCAAGCCAGGGCAGGAGCAACTATTGATATAGTTTCCTGGACGAAGTACTTAAAATTAAAAGTCAACAGCCAAAGTCCAGGTACCTACTCTATATGTTTTCTCGATTGTTTGTTCTACCTCATGTTGCTTGCACGGGCTTTGCAAGAGGAGAGAAAAGAAACATCAACTCTGTGCTCAGTTCTAACATTCGATCGCGCTGACCCTTGAACGACAGGCGACGGAACAGGATGTTTGTTGTTGTTGTTCGCCATCCCCAGTCTCGTCTCCCCGTCCCGGTTCCCTCCCCCTTGGGTTGTCGGTCAATGTTATTGTCCCCCTCCCTCCCCACCCTGCCGTGCGGGACCTACTGACGCCAGTCACGCCAGACGCCCTTTCTCTTCCCTCGCCAGTCGCGTCCAAAGGCCAACGTGCACCACCAAGGTACCTCTGGAAACCACCAAACAGTCCCTAAGGTGCATAGTAGTCAAAGTACCTGAATGGAAGTGCGTGATGCGTGCCCGCGTACCTTACCCAGACAGCGGCCGAAGGGACCGCTGCTGTTGTTCTTGTTGCTCTGCCGTCTACGCTAAAGCCATAACAAGAATAGCGTCTCTCCCTTTGCCGCGACTCCCCCAGTTCAACCTCCTCGACGCCCTTGAGTTTCGTGGTTTCCATCCTCTAAGTGGGAGTCCCCTCCCCCCGCCCCGACAACAGCCCGTTCTGCCCTGGCATGCTTGCCCGAGTGAGGTTGGGTGATACTAGACTGTGACCAGTATTGGACGGGTTACACCTTACTGGCTGTTGGACCCCTTCCCGTCACGATTAGAACCGCTGCACCTCACCACCGCGGTGCTTGTCGCCTTGAGGTACATACTGACCTTGCCGCACCTACCTACCTCACATGGTACCTCCATTACCTTGCACCTTCCTACCCGCCCAACCACTCATCATCGTGCCTTCCTCCGCCGCTGGCTCTTGCCGCTTCCTGCGACTCCAGCCTGCACCCCGTGGCCTCAGACATCTCGAATCTGCACTCAATCCAACGTTCGACAGCCTTTCACCACCCGTCGACGCCCATATTGCTGTCTTCTCTTTCTTCTCTCTCTCTCGACTAATTATTTTTTTCGACCCGTTTTGCGCCATTAATCCCAGAAGCTTGTCGCCGGCGCCCGAGTTCTTGCGACCGCCTGAGGGAAAAGCATGCGAATGACAACGATTTGAATACCGCCGTCAGGGATAAGGTGGTGATTCGTATGCCGCGCCGACCGGCCAAGACGACTCGCCGATAATTCGAGCAACGACTTCGTTCTCCGAACACTGCGAGCGCATCATTTGAATAGCTTTTGTCGCCCCAGTTTCTCAACTGCGACGACACGACCACCGCTCTCTGAGGCCCGCACTGGTGTCGGTGCTTGGTGTGCTTTATCATTCCCCGCCACATCCCCCGACGACGCTCGTCCCAGCCGCCTTCGCTAGACTTCAGCCTCTTCGCGCAACTCTCACGGACGATCTCCGTTGCTTGTTGCAAAAAAGTCAAGATGACTCTCCCAACCGATTCTTCGGCTGCCCTCAGCGCTTCTGGTTCCATCAAAAGACCAGTAGCTGATGCAAGCAATTCAGCAACCGCGACACCCACTCGCTTCGCAACACCCCCTCCTTCCGACAGAGGTCTCGTCGAGAACCGCCAATATTTGGAAAATACAAACCAGCGCAAGATTCAACACAGCAGAAGACCTAGTGAATCAGCTCGATCCAGTGCCTTCGACCCCGACGCCGTCGACAGTGCTTTGCTACGTGAGATGCACCACCGATCACAGAGGGAAAGCACACCTGGTGCAAGCCCACATCGGAAGCGCCAGAGAATCAATGGCGACAGGTAGGTTTACATCACCGTGATCAACTTCAACCACTATTTACTAAGTCTTTTCTGCCAGATTTATTCCGACACGAACTGGCCAGGACCTCCAAGCCAGCTTCAACTTGCTACACGAAGATGGCTCTCCAGCGACACCGTCCAAACAAAAGAAGCGTACTCCTCACGGAGAGCTACACTTTCAGAAGAGTGAGCCATCTACGCCCCTTCACCCGAAGGAGACAAATCTGACCGTTCTTAGCTGAGGAAGCAAACCGGACATTCTCGACGTTGCTCCGCGCAGAGCTCTTTGAAGGCTCAATACCACAGGCAACACCGCCCACTATGTCTCCTGAGCATACTTTATCCACTGCATCGCACTCTGCCAATCTTCGAGATTCAACGAGGTCTCGCACCCCGCCAAACAACGCTTCTACCAACTCTCTTCCATCCTCTCTAACGCCATCGACTCCCCACAAGAATCTGTTCTCCTACATGTCTCCGCGGAACCTGGGCAATGCGGGTCATCTAACGCCGTCAAGGACACCGCAGAGCCGGCATGGTCCCAATCTCGACACTCGCTCCGAGATCTATAGCCTTTCGCCAGTTCGCTTCAACAGTCAACAGATGCTGCTTAGCCCGCGGAGGCAACCGAGGGCGGTCAGTAAAGTGCCTTACAAAGTTCTCGACGCGCCTGATTTGGCAGATGATTTCTACCTCAACTTGGTAGATTGGGGCAGTGCCAATGTGCTTGGGGTCGGGCTCGGGTCCAGTGTTTACATGTGGAATGCTCAGACAAGTCGCGTCAACAAGCTGTGTACGCTCGAGGACGATACAGTAACGAGCGTGTCATGGATTCAGAAAGGAACCCATATCGCTATCGGGACCGGCAAGGGCCTCGTCCAAATCTGGGACGCTGAAAAGACAAGGCGACTGCGAACAATGACAGGCCACACGGCACGAGTGGGCTCCCTGGCTTGGAACACTCACATACTGACATCTGGCTCTCGCGATCGCCTGATCTACCACCGCGACGTGCGGGCCCCCGACCAGTGGCTCCGAAAGCTCGTCGGCCATAAGCAGGAGGTTTGCGGTCTTAAGTGGAACTGCGAAGACGGCCAGCTTGCCAGCGGTGGCAATGACAACAAGCTCATGGTGTGGGATAAGCTTTCCGAGACACCGCTGTGGAAGTTTTCAGATCACACGGCAGCTGTCAAGGCCATTGCATGGTCACCGCATCAACGGGGACTGTTGGCTTCGGGTGGAGGTACGGCTGATCGACGCATCATCTTCCACGACACAGTCCGCGGATCTGTCATCAACGAGATCGATACTGGCAGCCAGGTCTGCAATATCGCCTGGTCCAAGAACTCCAATGAGATTGTCTCGACGCACGGTTATAGTCAAAACCAGATTGTGGTATGGAAATACCCTTCCATGACGCAGGTGGTCAGTCTCACTGGACACACGTATCGTGTGCTTTACCTGGCTATGAGCCCGGACGGCAGAACCGTTGTGACCGGCGCCGGAGATGAGACATTACGATTCTGGAACGCATTTGGACGACGACCTGGGGCGAGAGAGGATAGTGATGGAGGGCGACTATCTGACTGGGGCGTCATCCGGTAGAAGATTGGAGCAGCAGGCTCCGCATACGACATTATACCAACATCTCCCTTTCCATTTGGCTCGAGGGGAGGTTAATAACGGCTTCGGACAGGACTAGTGGCAGGCGGGAATATGGAGCGAGCACTCGAATTCTGTTTCTTGGGAAATGTTGATGGGCAAGAGGAAACGTAAATACCCAGTTACCGGTTGCATCATGTGCATGGAATGGGCGTCATTCAGATTGGGGGTTGGGGCTTACAGGACATTGTTGTTTCTCGGGTTTTCATGTTTTTGGGGGGAATATGATTTAACAAAGCCTTTTTATCATCTGGCTTTACAGCGGGTGGTTTATGAGAGGAAACGGCCAAACGAACAACACAGCTCAGCCCAAACGGCTTGAGAGCATGGGACACGTGGAAGGTTGGGGTTTTGCTCAACGAAGAGGAGGTGCCGAAGTCATCTTTATCCATCCATAGGCTCAAGCGCTCAAATAGCATCTATCACACAGTATTGGTCGAGGGGTGGGTGATATGGGCAACCCCTCCTCGGCCAAGCGTAAATGGACAAGACAAATCTTGCTCACCTCATGTTCTCGATATGGCGATAAGCTCCGAGGTGCAAGGCCCACCAGAATGTAATATCACGATCCCGGCTAAAAGGTTGGGGGAGGTTTGTTCATACACAGACGGAGAGACCATAGCTCGGCCCCGCTGTTTCGGGGTCAAACCAAGTAGCATGGCGAGAAGTACTTGACGAGAAAGAGTTTACGGATATTCAATGATATCGTTTTGATGAGACAAAACAGGCAGACCATGTACTCCTCGTAGTGACATGATGATCGCTTCGCGCTTAAACCATAATTCAAGGGGGTCATAACAGGTAGTAGCACCCAGCTCTTAGGAAGGCTTCCTCCACAACGTGACAGCTCAAGATGCCCCTGCTGCCTTTCTCTCCTTGGCCACGTCTCTAGCACCCCCATCAATCCCACTGGCTACCCCCTGGGCCGAGAGCTCTTCGCTCAGCAGCGGAATCCGATCGGACTGCGCACCGGCCTTTATGCTTTCTTCCATGACCGTGTTCTCGTGCTTGTAAGCCGAGTTGAGGTTGCCACTTGCTCCGTCTTGGCTGTTTGTGAGGTGCAGCTCGCTCGGCGCGGACCCTTCGGGATTCGGCGTCATCAGGGGCGACTGGCCGCCCATTTCGGGTGTGTTCTGCCACTGTTTGACCTCGGCCCTCAGTGCTTCGAGCTCCTTTTGAAAACGTGTACCAAAGACGTCGATGTAGTAGGTTGCTCCATTGTACACGCTCCAGGTGAAGACGATGGAGAGGAATGCCGCCGAGGCATACCTGCTCATAAACCACAGGGGGCAGGGAAGCATGGTGAGTACCGCGTACGAGTACTGGATCAGCATGAAGGCAGATTCTTGCAGGGCGTCTGGCAAAGAGAGAACGACTTTCCCGATCCAAGTCTTGGAGTATGACTTGCGCAGCCAAGTGAAGGATGTCGGCCGACCGGCAGCAATCTTGTCACGCCGACGAACAGTAATGAAGAAGTAGTAGGAAAGCTGCCAGATAGCGTAGGGAACAGAGCTCCAGGCAAGCATAGAGACGATATTTCCGTAGCCTCCACTTGAGCCAGCAGGGGAGTGTTTCAGAGCCCAGATGGCAGGTAGACGACTGGCCTGGAGATCTGCTGGCCACAGGTGGACTATGCAGTGGAGCGTTGCGCAAGGCATGATATGTATAAATAATGAAGTGACCTTGTCGAAACTGTGGAAGACGAGCGAATTCCTCCACATGATGATCGCTACAGCGTTATTGCCGAATGCGAGACAGTAGGTGGCTAGGAAAAGTCGTCTCGAGCCAGGGAAGATCCAAATGCTGAGAACGAGGAGCAGGTTGACGAAGTAGCAAAGATCGGCGAGGAAGTAGTGGTATCCCCGGCGATGGTAGGTGAAGTATCGAATAGGCATGAAGTACAGCACTTGGACGGTGTACCACAAGTGAAAGTACTCGGGCCATCCGCCCATGAGAAGACCACTGACGAAGATATTCATGACGCCAAAGATGAATGAGACCTTCTCACGCATCGTGACCACCCTGGTGTCGTTCCATTGCTTTCCCAGCTTGTCGACGCTGGTGCGCATCCGCTTCCTGTATCTTTCTAACTGCTCGTCGGCGGTAGGGACGCGTCTCCGCCACTCGTCGACCATGCGCTCACGCGCGTGCTGGCTCTTGTTCTTAAATGCATCCCTGGACTTGCGGACCTTTTGCGTCTGGGCAGAGAAGCCTTTTTGCAACTTCTCCAGCTGCTGTGGGAGAGCAAAGTTGTCGAGAAGATCGAGTACAGAGATGCGGTCGAGGGGCGGGAAAACGTCCCAGTCCTCCTGGTAGGAACTGCTGCCGGAGAAGGACCCGTGTCTCGAAAGCTTGGGGCTCCCCGAGTTCACAGGACCAAGGGTCGGGGTATGGAGACCATCGTGGTCGGGAGGAGAACCGCTGAGGGCGGATTGTGTCTCGGTGTGGTCGGGAGTGAAAGCAGCCTCGCTGTCCGTTTGGGCATCCTCGCCTTTGGCGCCAGGTACATCCACTGGTTTTGATTCTTCCATCTTTGACAGGACCTGAGACGGTCCGGATGAAGTCTCGGTTTGATTGTCTTAGTTCTCTGTCGGTCGTCTAAGGTAACGTTGAGCCACATGTTAGTCTTTGTGGGTGAATTCGTCGGTCCATGATGGAGATATACGCATTTGCAGAAACGAAACGTGAGGGATACAGGAGTTGAAGGGAGAGCTCACCTATTTGAGAAGTTCACCAAGGCCAGGCCATGAATTTCAAGATCCCCGAGGCTGGGAGTAGGTTTTCGACAATGCGCCTGATAGACACAGCTTGGATGAGGCAAATGCAGGAACGAGTTTGGTGCTGACGGAAGATGTCTTGTAGAAGAAAGGTGTCGAAAGCAGCAAGGGCACGGGATAAGGTAGCGCAGGCTTCGACTAGTAGGTACTAGGTTGTCGATGGTGACAAGCTGCACGGTAGTTTGGCAGCGTGACTCGGAGATGGGAGGGCGGGGTGGGCACAAATGACAAGAAGTAGGGGGGTTGAGGAGGGTGGAAAAGAGTAAGGTAGGTCTGGAACACGTTGAGGATGCTGGCGATGAATTACACGTGTTGACTGATTGACCGCCACTGTTGATGTCGCAAGACTTTGACTGGCTGCAGCTGCAGATGTATTTCTTGCCTGGCGACGGGGAGCTGGACCAACATTTCCAACAGGGGTCGCTCCGTGATACGTCACAGGGCATAAGAGCTCCGCCATCTAAAGCTTATCGGGTGATCCGCATCGCGCTCTCCAGTGTCAAGAACGGGACGGTCTAGCACCAGGCAGTTTCACGCGTTGAAGCTGGATCTGTCCCTGACTTCTATCTTTACGTTAGCTTTCCTGTTGCTTTCATGGCCGTAACTAAAACTCGAGAAGTCAGGTTACACTGCTGAAGGGAGGCAAAGCTATAGGTACCTATCCAGTGTACTCCATATGTGTCTTTGACCAGGTATGCACTGAACACAACGGCACTTGGATTCGAGGACAAGTGGAGACGGGAAAGACAGACAGGTGGACGCGACTTCAAAGTACCTTCCTTACCAGGCTTTTGCTACGTAGTAAAGTCTTGTGAAGTCTGCACTCCATACCTACTCCGTACTTCAGTGGCTGGGCTGCCCATGAAATGTGCAGGTGTTGCTGGCTGCTTCTCTGGTTGGTTAGAACAAAAAAAAACTCCCAGTGGCTGCAGCTGACATCTCCTGGGTATTGGGTACTGCTATCTACCTAGATACCTGGCATCCGTACACTTCCGGCTAGTAGGGTACCAAGAGAGGTACCCACGAATACCTAAGGTAAGGTAGGTAGCTAAGGTAGCACTTAGTTGCAGTCTCCGCTGGGTCACGTGAGATGTCGAGCCACTATCTGCTGCTAAGAGTGGCTTGCGCTCCCACCAGCGCGTAGCAGCCTCAAGTGTGTGGCCCGTAATTATTTGCCTGTCGCGTCAAGGTGCAGCAGCACTCAGACGCGCGTGGGGAAATCCAAGTAGACTCAACCACCGCGACCTCACTGTCGACAGACAAGATACCATCCCTTCCGAGTGCTTCTTCGCGATGCGCCAGGCCAGCTCGAGGCCCTCAACACTCGACTTGACTACTGCTGTATAACGTAGTCCCTGCCTACACCTCGACCAATCTAGTACCGCTTTCCAGGCCTTGGCCATCCGCCTCGACCTTTTCCCCCCTCGTCTTGCGCGCCGCATTGCGTTTGCGACGAGCCGCGACCCAAGCCCACCACAACCGTACACCCAGTATCAATCCTCGTCGCGTGCCTAGCGACAACCCGTCGACAAGATGGGAAAGCTCATCCGCCTAGAGCTTTTCAGTATGTCCAAGTCCAGCATCGTTTTCCATGTCTTTCTCGCGTTGACCATGTCACCCCATAGACTTCAAGTCCTACAAGGGCCATCATATCCTCTTGTTCGGTGATTCCTACTTCACTTCCATCATTGGGCCTAATGGATCCGGCAAGTCAAACTCGTGAGTCCTCCCCATCGCATACGCTGCCTTGACTTGCAATTAATGTGCATATTTCGACAGCATGGACGCGATATCCTTCGTGCTTGGTATCAAGTCGTCGCATCTTCGATCAGCCCATTTGAAGGACCTGGTCTACCGTGGCCGCGTGCTGAAAACCTCGAAAATAAACGACGACGGCTCTGCTGAAGCGAATGGCAGTAATGGTCACTCGAACGGCGACGGAGACGAGTTGTCGCAAAAAGCCTCCAGGACCGATCCAAAGACTGCATGGGTCATGGCTGTATACGAAGACGATGCCGGTGACGAGCAAAAGTGGAAGCGCTCCATCACGAACCAGGGATCTAGCGAGTACCGCATCAACGATCGTGTTGTCACAGCCCAGCAGTACAACGAAGCGCTCGAATCCGAGAACATCCTGATTAAGGCTAGAAATTTCCTTGTCTTCCAAGGAGATGTTGAGGCTATTGCCGCGCAATCACCGCAAGACCTCACGAGACTGATCGAACAAATCTCCGGAAGTCTCGAGTATAAGGCTGAATACGAACGATTGCAGACTGAAGCTGAGCAAGCTGCTGAGAACCAAAGCTTTCAGCTTCACCGAAGACGCGGCATCAACTCCGAGATCAAGCAATATCAGGAACAGAAGAAGGAGGCAGACAACTTCCAGAAGAAGACGGACGAGAGAGACGAAGCCATCGTCAAACATGCTCTGTGGAAGCTCTATCACTTTCAACGTGGCATGGATGAGTCTACTGAGCAAATTCACGACCACCAACAGAACTTGCAGGAGTTTCAGCGCAACGTCGAATCCTTCAGACGGAAACTCGAAGTCGCCCAGAAAGAGCAGCAAGCGGCGGCAAAGGATGTCAATGGAGTGGAAAAAGCCATCAACGCCAAGAAGCGCGAGTTCGACGAATTGGAGCACCGGCTCATCCCCATTGACGCAAAGATTGAGGAAAAGACCCGCAACATTGAACAGGGTCGCTCGCGAATGGAGCCGGTGCGTAAAGAGCGCGACAAGCAGGCCGAGGTCATCAAGGAAGACGAGGCCCGACTCAAGACAACCGAGAAAGCCCAGCAACATTTCGAGAAGCAACTCAAAGAACGAATGAAGAAGCTGGGCAAGGAGCTCAGTGACGACGACCGCAAAGAGTACAACTCACTTCGCTCACAGGTTGTCCAAAAGGTCGCTGGCAACCAAGGCAAACTTGACAATCTGATCCGCCAACAAAAGACTGATGAGGTCACCGTTAATACCCTCAAGGGCAAGGTTGACACCCTTTCGGCCGCCCTAGAGAAATACGAGGGTGAATTGGAGACTCTCGGTGAGCGCAAGTCATCAACCGAGGGGAACATCAAGGCACTGTCTCAGGAAATCGACACGAAAAAGAAGCAGTACCATCAAATCCAGTCTGAGCGTGTTAGAACCAGCCAAAGACGCACAGAATTAGAGGAAAAGCTTGAAACTGTGGCCAAGCAACTGCGGGAGGCCGATGATGGGCGCAGACAGAATGACAGGGAAGCCAGGATGAAAGAAATGGTCAACAACCTGAAGCGACTCTATCCTGGCGTCAAGGGAAGGATCGGTGATCTCTGCAAGCCCAAACAGAAGAAATTCGATGAGGCTGTTGGTATTGCACTGGGCCGCGACTTCGATTCAGTCATTGTCGACACGGAGAAGACTGGCCACGAGTGTGTTCAGTACCTGAAGGACCAGCGCTTCCCGCCCATGACCTTCATTCCTCTCGACAACATCAAGGTCAACGCGGTGAACTCGGCCATTAAGGGCATCTCGGGAGCCCGGTTGACCATTGACACCATCGACTTTGATGCTGCCTACGAACGTGCCATGGCATACGCCTGTGGCAGCTCTGTGGTGTGTGATAATGAGAAGATCGCAAAGGTCATCTCGTACGAGAAGCGTATCCCTGTCAAAACGGTCACTCTGGACGGCTTGGTCATCCACAAGACGGGTATGATGACTGGTGGTCGTGGTCCTCAGGACAAGGGTGGAAAGAGGCGTTTCGAGAACACTGACTTGGAGCCTCTGAAGAAGATGGCAGCCAAATACAAGGAGGAAATCGAGAAACTTCCCAAGTCTGGTCGGCGTAGCGCTGCCGAGGAGTCTCTCCAGATTGAGATCCACGGCCTCGAACCCCGTCTGGCCGCTGCCAAGGCTGAGCTGGCGCACTTGGAAAAGAACTACAACTCGAAGAAGAGAGAGAGGGACAACGAGGAGAGGCAGCTTGACGAGCTCGACCCCAAGTACGAGGAGAAGAAGGCGGAACTCGAAGCCACAAAACGAACGGTCAAAGAATTCTCGGATGCCATTGCACAAGTGGAGGATGAGGTTTTCTCGGACTTCTGTAGGAGGCTCGGTTTCAGCGACATCCGGGCTTACGAGACAGAACACCGCGATATGCAACGGGAAGCCGACGAAGAGCGGACCAAGTTCGAGGTGCAAAAGTCTAGGTTCCAAAGTCAACTCACTTTGGCACGTGACATGCATAGCAACCTGGAAAAACGTCTTAGGAAGCTGCAAGAGACTCTTAAGGGGGCTGAGCGCGACCTACAGAGTTATCAACGGGAGAAGTCAGACATTGAGGATTCCAGTCACGAAATTTCTGACGAGCTCGATGCGCTTAGCGAAACGCTCGAGGAGTACCGTGGCAAATTGGAAGAGAAGAGCCAAAAGGTCTCCCAAGCCAAGGCTGAAGTACACAAGCGAAGCAAGGAAATCGACGCCAGGCAAAAAGAAATCAATGCTCTCGAGACTGTGGTGCAGAAGAACAGCGCGGGCAAGTTTGCTTTGCTCAGGCGATGCAAACTTGACCAGATCCAGGTGCCTTTACTCGAGGGCTCGCTTGACAACTTGCCAAATGAGGACAATATGCTGCGGCAAGATGCCGATGCCATGGACGTCGATGAGGAGGTGGACGACGAAGACATGATGACGGCTGCTCTCGAGAACCATGGCATCGAGATCGACTACGATGCCCTAGACGAGGAGATGAAGACGGTAAGCAAATCCTTTC